TTATATTATTTTTTCCTTTAAATAACGTTATTTTATTTGTGTATCATATATATTTATTGATATCATAATACTAAACGCAATACCATTTATGTTTAATATATTATTGTCTTTAATACAAATAGGAAACCGCATTTGTATCATTACACTTATTAAAGGATATAAGGGGCGCTTGGTGTTGGGTCTTTTAGAAAAAAGGGGTGCATACATGGTTTAATGGCATTTTTGGGATGGAAAAGGAATTTTAAATTTCTGGTGTGCAGACATGGCAGAGGAAACAGGAGATTATGAAGCTGAATTCCTTGAAAAACTTTGTTAAAAACAAGAAAAGCAAGCAGGAGTCATTTAAGTCACTTCGAAACAGAAAGCTACTATCTACCGCACTCTTTAGCGATTTAAAAGGAATTGGATTTACAATGTCTTGTTTATTACTATGAATGCACGCATTTCCTTTATGATATCTCGATCGTTTTGCACTACAAAGTAGTTCAATAATATGTAGCTGAGAAGGTCAAGTTAAAAAAAAAACACAAAACAAAAAACCCCCCAAAAAACAACAACAAAAAACTAAATAATAAAAACCCAACTGACCTGTTTGTATCGCGATTGCAAAGTGTTTGGTAATACTTGAGGAAAGGAGCGGAAAAGCAAAAGTGCAGAACATTCCAGAGAGTGTGAACAGGACCCCATAGTCCAAGGATGAGGGGTCTAACAATATCATAAATATTCCGTCATCATGATAATATATTCCACTGTAGAACTGATGGGTCGCTCTTCGATCTTGCTCGACTCCAGGCCAAGACCAAGATCAACAAAACAACACTACAAGACATTCTCTTAGCCTATGACGCTTGGCGCTGCTCTTGTTGCTCGCTGTAAATCAACCCTACAAACAATGATGGACCGCCTATCAACTGCATGCAAGATCTTTCTCTTGGTCATCAGTGTTAAGAAAACAGTCATGCTTATTCAAGAAGGTGCAGAGCAGAGCCATACATGGCTGAACGACAAGGAACTTGAGACAGTGGACAAGTTCTGTTACCTGGGGTCTACCATCAGCTCTGCTACATCACTTGATTATGAGATCAACATCAGGATAGGGAAAGCAGCAACAGCTTTTGGAAGGTTGACAAAACGAGCTTGGGAAAACAAAAGATTAACCATCAAAACAAAGATCAAGATTTACGAATCATGACCCTCAGCACACTCTTTATGGATCTGAAACATGGACCTTGTAGAGCAGGCAAGAAAAGCGCCTCGACATTTTCCATATCGGATGCTGTTGCAAGATCTTAGGCATTTCGTGGCGTGACAAGGTTACAAATATTGAAGTGTTGGCAGGCACGGGCAAACCTCCAGAGCATGACAGCTATCATGTGTTTAAAAAGATTGAGATCGCTGGGCCATGTCAAGTGAATGAACGACAATCAGATTCCGAAGCAACGTTTCTATGGAGAACTTGCCCAGGGAAAGAGACCAAGAGGAAGACCAAAATTGAGGTACAAAGACACCTGCAAAAACAGCTTATCTAAGCTTTGAGTAGATGTTAGCATCTGGGAAGAAACAGCTGAGGACAGGAAAACATTGAGGAAAATGATAAAGGAAAGAACTATAATGCTAGAGAGCAGCCTTAGAAACAACCAGGATGAGAAGCACCAACGACGAAAGGAAAACAGCGTAAATATAGAGCTTCAATCCACGTCACTGACACGCAAGCACTGTGACAGAATCTGCGCTTTAAACATAGGAAGAATTAGTCATGAAAGAAGCTGCATGAAGACAACCTTAAGACCATCTTAAGTCTGCAAAGACGAAAAGAGGAATACATAATAATATATTTAACAACAAATTCCCGCAGCTTCGGATAAGCTCTTTAAAGCCAAATACAAAACGCCACGAAGGCAAATAAAATAAACTCTGCCACCAGTTTAATGAAACAGTTTGTTTTGGGTTTCATTCATCTTCGTAACTTCAAAAGTCTCACGATTTGTTTCGTTCTCTTACGTCGCTTTGGTTCAAACGAATCTCTGAATTTCCCAATTTTCACACAATAACCCAGGCGTGCAGGTTTCTGTCAGAATAATATGCGAGTTGAATAGATACGGTATACTACAATTGATCCTCTTTTGAGTGAAGGGTTGGGACTAAGCTAAATCAGAACAGATGCGGTTTGTGAAAAGGATTGGGAGGGGGAATCATTCTGGTATTCTTTATGAACTTTGAGTCTTTTACTTTTGCATTTTGTTTCCTATTAGTATTAGGTAAAGGAGATAATAAAAAAACGAAACAAGGAATATCATAATCAAAGGGGAGTGTTCTTGTTCTCTTTCTGCCTCGTCAATTATTATTTTAAAAGGAGTCAGTAGCAGATTTCCAGCCACGAATGATTAGTAGATACAAAGAAAAGAGTTGATGTATCCGTGCATATCATAGCGATGGAGCTGAGTGAAGGAGACGTACATGGGTTTATATAGCCTACATAATTGGAAAGGACTTTATTAGAAGAGTAGTTTCAAACAAAATGATAATATATTAACCAACATTGATGAGGAAAAAAGGGCTATGGGCCTATTTTTTAAAGGGAGGGAGTAGGGAAGGGACCGGTAGAGGCAAAGGCACTTCGACAACGTCATAATATTGTCACGTAACCCTTGATACAAAAAAAAAAGATGAAAATAAACATTAAAAAATAACAACCATAAAAAACAAATTAAAACAAAACAAAACAAGCCCAAAGTAGCACATTATTATAGTGTTCGGAAAAAAATTATATCTAACGCGCCACACACATAATATAATATGTTTTTTCTTCAATGTTTTAAATTCCGATTAACAGCATCCAAACAATAAAACATGTCAACTTGTTTGGATCCGAAGAATGAAACACATTGGGTAATGTTATACTTGTTGTTGAATGTAAAGTAAAAAAAATAATTAATAATCGATGCAATCTAAACATTATTGTGTTTCCAATCCATCATATAATATTCTAAATATAAAATAAAGAAAGTCAAATTGGTTCAATTCACGGTGTTTGATGATAAAAACTACAACTGGTAGATCCTGCGTACGGATTTCTGTATTTTATTATTGCTCTTCGTGCAGCTTAAATTTTAATGCTGTGCAAGACTATGATGTAAGCATGCACGTCATGCACGTGTGTTGTTACTGTGAAAAAACAAACGAGCATAACAAAACGAATGTAAAGGCAGGTGCGAGCCAAGCAAAACGACAGAAAATAAGCATTTGAGCAGTCAGTAAGCCAACGTCACACCCACGTTTTTCTAGACAAGAATAGTATTGCTTTTCCTTGCCTTTTCAGGGTATGTCTGTAAGTAAAAGTAAGTGTATGGTTTAAACACTTTTATCGACAGAATTAGGTTATTTAAGAGGTGGGACCTCCGAAGTGAACGCCCGTCTCCGATAGGACCGAGCCAAATGGGTTGAGATTTTGAAAATCCTCAAAACAACCCAAGCTGAAAAACACCCAGTCTAGGATACGCCCCGTAGTTCAGCATGATATCAACTGAGCTAACGTAGCGTGTCCTCAGCAATCGGAGTGTAACTCTTCTCCGTGTCTACGATTCACCTTATCTTCCAACTACGTGTAGTTAAAATGGTATCGTAATAGTAAAAGCTCACCATGCAGCTCTATAAATAAACTCCTATTGATTCAAGCGGGTAGAGAGCCTAAAAACTCCCAAAGCAACACAATATGTCCGTTAGGAATTTGAGCCAGGACCATCCGTACATCAGCATAATACCGACAGAACAACCCTAATACCAACTAGGCTTATTGTTTTTACGATTCATTTAATTAAGATGTTTTGGGGAAGTTAGGGCCTTGTGAAATAATCGATACTTTTCACAGGAACACAAAACGAGGAGTGGTTCTGCCATTTTACAAAAGCAGAAGGAGCAGAGACTCCCCCCCCCCCCATTTTCCTCAAGAAAAAAACGTTTTTGAAGCTCATCATCACAATACAAACCAGTGAGTGCTGAGAACAGAAAATAAACTTACTACAAAAAGTCGAAACAAAAGCAAGGAACATTCGAATGAAAACCGGTAAGGCGTGTTAAATTAATAACACCCCTTGACCTCTTTATGTTTAGAAAGGGACCGACTGTTGATATTTTCTTTCCTTGTTATTATAAGCTATTACTTAGATCTATTCAGACAAACAAAACATTGGGCTTCTTTTAAATATTGATGTTTAGATAGGACTCTAACTTAATGTGTAATAGCATAAAAAAAAAATTAATTACTTGAAAAAAACAAACAAACAAAAAACAACAAACAAACAACGGCTGCTTCGCAGGTTACGTCTCCGTTTAGCGGGCAAGTTTGGTAAACGATCTCTTCTATAAAATAGCACCAATTAAAATTATCCTACATTTTAAAACAGAGGTCCGATTTTGGCACAATTATTTGTTTTAACACAATAATTTCCTTCTGTCCGAACCAACTTTACAGACTTTGTTGACCCATGTACTTAATAGTTGAAATAAACCACACACGGGGGCTCTCGTGTCCTAGAGGTTAAGGTGTTGGCCTCTCATTCAAAGGTCCCGGGTTCGATTCCGGGTAGCGACCAAAAATTTTTTTTCTCTAAAATTGTCTCCTTTCACATCCTTTCCTGATCTCTAACAATGTTCTGTTGTCTGCTTTCATTTCCACTTTCTGCCCCCACCCCCTCACCTCCTTTGCCCCCTCCTCTGGGCTCCTGACTCTTTCTGCAGCCTTTCTACTGCTACTCCTTGGCTCCTCCTAACTGCTGTCTTTCTGCCACACCCCTGATCTTCTGGTAGGAAAGATCTATACCTAGCCTTCTCGGACAAGGGCGAAAAATCTCGGAGGGCCCGTGTGCAAGTTGCGCACGTTAAAGATCCCTTGGTGGTCTAAAATCTATAAGAGTAGGCTTCGGCCGCCACCCGGGCAAAATTCAAAATTTCCTACCAACGAAAAAGTATGAGGTGTGTCCCGCGCGCTCATATGACCTTAT